TGGGTTATGGGCCCCCTGACGACTTCCAGCGTCTCACCCCCAGCTCAGCCCTGGGAGCAGGTGCACGGGGCAGGGCAGGGAGCGTCAGAGACCTGGGCTGAATCTCAGAACCAGCTGGGGATGTGAGCTGGGCCGGGGAGCTGGGTCTGGCTGGGAATCGGCCCTGGGAGAAGGCTGGGAACCCCCTCACCGGGACTGTCACTGCCCTGGCCCCACGTGCTTTTCCAGCTCGAACTTCTCCGCTGGCTTTCTGGGCCCACGTGCGGGGCCCTCCCTGCGTGCGGCACGAGTGCCCTGCACGGCTGTGCCCGTGTCCCACTGTGCTCTCGAGCCCTGGGGCCCGGCCGGCCTGGGCGCTGGGGCTGCTGTGATGGGCTCCGAGGGGTGTCCTGGGCCCCTCTCCACCGCCGGAGGCATGAGCTGCTCCCAGGAGCTTTGCAGAGGGAACTGCCCCGGACCCCCCCGTCTCATTGGGGGGCCCCCGTTTCCTCTGCCGTGGGGCTGGGCGCTGGCTGTCGCCAGGGCGGTAACGCTCTTCTCTTTTCCTTTGCAGAAACCCGGCCACTCGCGGCGCTTCGGGCGCTTCACGCATGGTGCGTTGTTCCTGGGACCCCTCCCCTGGGACCCCCGGCCCCCTCCCCTGCTCTGCTGCCACCCAGGGCGCTCGCACTGGGTCTGCTGCTCCTGTGTGGAGTGACTAAGGAGCCAGGGAAGATGCTGGTGCTGATGGCCCTGCCCCCCTCAGACCCCACGTCTCTTCCCTGGCCTGCAGGTCCCGAGTGAGGCTGCACCGGGGGGTGGGGGTGGGTCTGGCAAACGCCAGCGCTGCCCCCGAGTGCTCCGGGCTGCTGCTGAGCCATGGGGCACTCGCCTGGCCCCACCAGCCAAGGCAAGGGGGTGAGCCTGGAATTGCCCCGGCTGGAGCTTTGGGCTGGGGGGGGGGCAGGGCATGTGGGCGACAGCCAGGGGGAGCGGCTCCCTGGTGGTGGGGAGCGAAGCCGGTGTGGGGCAGGCTGGGGCTGTGACGGGGGTAGGGCGGCATGGGTGTGGGGCAGGGTGGGGATGTGACGGGGGCAGGCGTGCCATGTGTCGAGGGGTTCTGTGAGTGTGCACACACTCGTGTGAGGAGCCGGGGTGGGGATGAGCATGCCGTGTGTCGGAAGGGTCTGTGAGTGTGAACACACTCGTGTGAGGAGCCGGGGTGGGGATGGGCGTGCCGTGTGTCGGAAGGGTCTGTGAGTGTGCACACACTTGTGCGAGGAGCCGGGGTGGGGATGGGCGTGCCGTGTGTCGAGGGGGTCTGTGAGTGTGCACACACTCGTGTGAGGAGCCGGGGTGGGGCTGGGCGTGCCGTGTGTCGAGGGGGTCTGTGAGTGTGGGGGGGACTGTATGGGGAGCTGGGGGGCTGTATACTGTGCTGTGTGTGGGGGGCAGTATGGGGAGCTGGGGGGCTGTACTCTGTGCTGTGTGTGTATATGGGGGGGGGCTGTCGTGGGGCAGAAAGGAGACCTGTGGTGGGAGGGGAGGCATGTATAGGGTGCCAGGGGAGGGGAGGCGTGTATAGGGTGCCGGGGGAGGGCTGCGGGGGGGCGGGAGAGAGCTGGGAGTGTGCACGTGCTTGTGAGAGGAGCCGGGGCGGGGCTGGGTGTCCGTGTGTCATAGAGTCCTAGAACTGGAAGGGACGTTGAGAGGTCGGGTAGTCCAGTCCCCTGCCCTCATGGCAGGACTATTATCTCAGCCATTCCTGACAGGTGTTTGGCTAACCTGCTCTTAACAATCTCCAATGATGGAGATTCTACAACCTCCCCAGGCAATTTATTCCAGTGTTTAACCATCCCGACAGGTAGGAAGTTTTTCCTAATGTCCAACCTAAACTTTCTTTGCTGCAAGTTAAGCCCATTGCTTCTTGTCCTGTCCTCAGAGGTTAAGAACAATTTTTCTCCCTCCTCCTTGTAACAACCTTTTATGTACTTGAAAACTGTTATCAGGTCCCCGCTCAGTCTTCTCGTCTCCAGACTAAACAAACCCAATTTTTTCAATCTTCCCTCATAGCTCATGTTTTCTAGGCCTTTCATCATTTGTGTTGCTCTTCTCTGGACTTTCTCCACTTTGACCACGTCTCTCCTGAAATGTGGCGCCCAGAACTGGACACAATACTCTGTTGAGGCCTAACCAGAGCGGAGTAGAGCGGAAGAATTACTTCTTATGTCTTGCTTACAACACTCTTGCTGATACAGCCCAGAATGATGTTTGCTTTTTTTTGTAGCTGTGTTACACTATTGACTCATATTTAGCTTGTGGTTGACTATGACCCCCAGATCCCTTTCTGCAGTACTCCTTCCTAGGCAGTCATTGCCCAGTTTGTATGTGTGCAACTGATTGTTCCTTCCTAAATACAGGACTTTCCATTTGTCCTTATTGAATTTCATCCTATTTACTTCAGACCATTTCTCCAGTTTGTCCAGATCATTTTGAATTTTAATCCTATCCTCCAAAGCACTTGCAACCCCTTCCAGCTTGGTATCGTCCGCAAACTTCATAAGTGTCCTCTCTGTGTCATTAGTTAAATCATTGATGAAGATATTGATCAGAACCGGACCCGAACTGATCCCTGCGGGACCCCACTGGTTATGCCCTTCCAGCCTGACTGTGAACCACTGATAACGACTCTCTGGGAACGGGTTTTCCAACCAGTTTTGCACCCACCGTATAGTAGCTCCATCTACGTTGCATTTCCCTAGTTTGTTTGTAGAGACAGTGTCAAAAGCCTTACTAAAGTCAAGGAATACCACATCTACTGCTTCCCCCCTCCCCATCCACAAGGCTGGTTACCCTGCCAAAGGAAGCTCTCAGGTTGGTTTGACATGATTTGTTCTTGACAAATCCAGGCTGACTGTTACTTATCACCTCATTAGCTTCTAGAGGTTTGCAAATTGATTGCTTAATGATTTGCTCCATTATCTTTCCGGGTACAAAAGTTAAGCTGACTGTTGGGGGCAGGGGGCGGGTGTCTGTGATTGTGCACACATTTGTGAGAGGAGCCGGGGCAGGGCTGTGTGTGCCATGTGTCAGGGGGTCTGTGAGTGTGTACACGCTCACTAGAGGAGCCAGGGTGGGGCTGAGCATGTTGGGGGATGAGTGAGTGTGCACATGCTTGTGAGAGGAGCCGGGGCGGGGCTGGGTGTGCTGTGTGTTGGGGGGGGTCTGTGAGTGTGTACATACTTGTGAGAGGAGCTGGGGCGGGGCTGGGCGTGCCGTGTTCGGGGAGGGTGTCTGTGAGTGTGTACACGCTCACTAGAGGAGCCAGGG